AATAGATATAAACATATAATATAATAATAATGTTTTAATATTATTAAAAATAAAATAAAATAATTTGTAATATATTTATTGGCTCCTAAAATAGCCAATATCAATAGATATCAATCAATTTGTTGAAATGGGATGAATTGAGACACAATTAATCTCATATCAAAATTAGCTGAGAAAAGCCTTTGTAGATAATTCAAAGATATTACAAATATAATGAGTGAATGATTTAGACATTACAAAAGCGACTTCAGAAGTCAAATGTATTTTTTATTTTTAACGCATTACTTGAGGCCTTTATGTATAATGTATAAAATGTATTTATGTATAAAAAGTTATTCACGATGCACATTGCAATGCATTGTATATATTTTCATAAATGAGTGTAACCAAAGTGAAAATGCATTATAATTGCAGAAATCTGAAATCGGTTGATTGTCATGTGTTTTAATGCATTGTACTTTCTAAAGGTGTAACGATGAAAAGATATGTATTATAACTGTGGTTGCAATTATTGATGTGATCATACAATGCATTAAAATACTTTTATAGTGCATTATATATAAGGCTTCAGGTAAAGTGTTTCCTGATTTTCCAGCAAATGCACACATGTATTCTGCTTGGTGATCCAGATCTAACATCTGCAGTTATTTGCAGCTCTCCCTCCTCATGCAGTGTCTCTATCATGTTGCGTTCAGACGTTTGTAACCCGACTCGTGCGTCTGCTCTCTCCAGCTGGCTCTCGGCTCTGGAAAGCACTCGTTGGCTGCAGCACCTGTCTGTCATGCTGAAGGCCGCGTCTCTGGTGTGCTCTGCGGTGGAGCGGGAGGGAAGGCCGGTGCTGGTGCACTGCTCAGACGGCTGGGACCGCACGCCGCAGATCGTGGCCCTCGCAAAGATCCTTCTGGATCCCTTCTACAGGACCATAGAGGTAAACGTGAAGAAGAACCACCACCCATACGGCTCCATGTGAATTAGTTTGCTCATGGGTTTGATTCACAGGGAATACATGATCTTAACCGTGCACCTTGAATGCAAAGATAAAAGCATCTGCCAAATGCAGCAGAGAGACTAATATTAAATGCATGTTTAATTTAAGTCAAGTCACAGTTATTTATACAGCACTTTACTCAATGCAGATTGTTTCAAAGCAGACAGTGTCGTTATTCAGATCAGTTTAGTTCAATGTCAGTTCAAACTTTAAAGTGTCTTTACACATTCGAGTGTTAAGCTGCATAAATTATCCGAATGCTGCATAAAAGCCAGACTAAATAATGCCTGCTCTGACCCACCTCAGCACCTAGTCAGGGTCAGTATCGTTAATGAAAAATAAAACCATAAAAACACATTTTGGTTACTTGAAATGAAATAAACATTAACTAAAATAAAATAGTTGTGACCCTGTCTGTGAAATCCAGGCTAAAGTCTCACAATGTAATTATGAGATGAGCATCAAAGTTTGATTTCAACTGTTAATTTCACTATGATTTCAATCTTTGACATATCAATGTTACATTTTCACAGAATGTTCTTTACCTTATGAAGGATGATTTTATGTAGAAAACCGTAAATCACCAAAAAATGACTTAAGCTCGGTTTTCACAGACAGGGTCACATTTATATCTATATATTTGATATATATTATATGTTTGAATATTATATGTATTTCACTATATAATTAGTTATTTATTTATATTTAAGTATCTATTAAAATTATTTAAAAATAAAAAAATGTTTAAATATCTAGTTGTCAGGGCAACATTTTTCATTTGCATTTAGTTTTATTCAAAATACTAAAATAACAAGCTAAATAAACTAAATTAAGTACAGTACTGTAAAGATATTTTGTTAAAAAAAGGCAAAACACAAAAAATGCTAATGTATGAAATAAAATATTTATATAGTTTATTAAATAAGTAAATAAAAATTGATAAATACTTTACAGACGTTTTGTGAAGACAAAAACACAATAGAATTTTTAAAATGTTAAATGAAATATTTGTATTTATTATTTGTTGGCAGGGCAACACTTAAAAGTACTGACGTAAATTAAATAAATACTAAAACTAATAAATAAAAATTAATAAATACTCGGGTTGCAAAAAGGTGGAACATTTCCAGTAAATTTCAGAAGTATTCCAGAAATTTTGGAAACTTGCCAGGATTTTTTGGGGAAAGTTTCTGGAAATTTTCCACCCCTTTGCAACCCTAATAAATACTAAATAAACATAAAAAAATGGCAAAAACACACAAAAAAATACTAAAACTTTAACAAATTAAAGTGCAAAAACTAAAACTCAACTAAATCGAATTCAAAATAACAACAAAAATGCAAATGTAGTATATCAGTGATACTAAAGCAACACTCTTCCTAGTATCAAAGGCAGTTTATTTATGCAGGTGTAAGTGTAAATTAATCTAAATGCCACTGCAGATGCAGTTTCTCTGCCAGCTTTGCCGTGTAAATGTGTCTTTAGAAACGTTAAAGGTAGGGTAAGTGATTTCTGGTAGCCAATGTTGACATTTGAAATCACTAAAACAAACACGCCCCTACCCCAGAAGGGTCTCGCCCCTATTTTGATAGCTCCGCCTCACACATACGTACGCAACCCAGGCAACGGATTAGTTCTGTGAAACAAAGCAAAAGCAATGTTACACTGTGTCTACACCGGACGCGAGTGGCACGGCGCGACAAAATACTATAGAACTCATTATAATCAGTGATGCTGTCCACACTATAGCTTATATATACATATCTATGGTCTACACTGGATGCGGCACGATACAACGACAAATCCCCGACAGAAACTGCTGCTGCGTTCTATTTATGGCGTATTGACACAAATTTCAAATGATTTTCAACGGTTGCTTTGTCGCGTCCAGACAGACTTTAGCTGTTGTGGCGCAGACACGGTGTTACTCACCTATCGAGAAGAAACAAAGCAACCTCGGCGTCCGATCGCAGGCCTTCCGCTCCTCGAGTTCTCTCCAGTGCTGGAAAGCTGATCCGAAATTTACACGGGTCCTACTTCTTGCCTTAAAGGTGTTGTATGTAAGTTTTTGACTCTACTAAAGCGTAAAAATACCATAATATGTTTGCAGATATTTAAGAAACATGCTTAGTTAACATTGTTTTTATCAATGCTACAGTCAGTTATTCTCCTTTGAAAATGTGTGTGTGCCGGAATGTCGGTCTCTGTTTTGGTTTGTGAAACTTGTGAAACGAAATTGTATTTCGGCCCCCCCAGGTTGCCAGTTGGCGGAAAACACAGCGTATTTCATTCATCGTCAAGTGCGCTCGTTCCTGTTGCTGTCATCAATCTGGGGGTGAAAAAAAAACCCTCTCCAGTATTTTGAATTTGGACTGCAATACCTAGTTCAACCACTCACATACAGCACCTTTAAGCCTTCTTTTGTTCCGCAGACGTTTTCCTCTTTTGTTTTTTATCCGCCATCTCTATCTTTCTGTCGCTCGGCTCGGCTAATGTCCGTCCCGTGCACTGAACGCTCTCTCATCCACATCATGAGTAGACACGCCCCTTACTGCTGATTGGCTACAAGTTTGTGTTGCTATTCGAATCAGTTTTCGAAAGCGTTTTTGAAAAATCACTTACCCCACCTTTAAATGACTCGCTTGCATTTGCCTGTCAGAGCGCTAGTTAACTCTGGTTCGTTAGCCTCGTGTCTCTGACTGTCTGTGGGTCTGGGCAGGGTTTTCAGGTGCTGGTGGAGACGGAGTGGCTGGATTACGGTCATAAGTTTGCTGATCGCTGCGGTCATCAGGAGAGCGGCGAGGATGTGAGTGAACAGTGTCCCGTGTTCCTGCAGTGGCTGGACTGTGTTCATCAGCTCCTCAAGCAGTTCCCCTGCCTCTTCGAGTTCAACGAGGCCTTTCTGGTATGTCAACATAATGTGTACCATTATGGTATTAAAAAGTAAACGCGTTACTTTTTATAATAGGGTCAAAGACATTAAGATGTCCGCATCAAAAGAAATTTACAAAAGTGATTTTATGTCCATAGAAAGCACATTAAATGTAAGTAAAGTGTCTACTTTTAAGGTTTCAAATAAGTTTTTGGAGAATAAAATGTCAAAACATGATCTTTACTTAATATCCTAATGATTTTTAGCATAAAAGAAAAATAGAAAATTTTGACCCATACAATGTATTGTTGGCTATTGCTACAAATATACCCCAGCGACTTAAGACTGCTTTTGTGCTCCAGGCTCACAAATCCTCAGTTTATATGACCTGTAGGTCTCATCCAGATGTTGTTGTTCAGTTTTACACTGATTGTATTTCCAGGTGAAGCTGGTTCAGCACACATACTCCTGTCTGTACGGTACGTTCCTGTGCAATAACGCGAAAGAGCGCGAGGCCCGTAACGTCTATAAACGCACCTGCTCCATCTGGTCGCTCCTGCGCAACGGCAACAAGAACTTCCAGAACTTCCTCTACATCCCCTGCCATGATATGGTCAGCACACCTCCAAACACAAACACACACAAAACACTATAAAACACGCCTTTGGATTGGTTCAGAGAGGATTTATGCTGCATTCACATCCTGATAATAATTGTGCTTCCAACTGCAGACTCTAAAAAAGGGGTTTTAGCCAATTAGGTGTTTTAGAGCTGAACAAATACTATTTATATTTACTTTAGAAATTTTCATATCTTTTTAAGATTTTATTAATATCTCAGTCTTTTCCAGATTGTAAATTGCTGTTTTAAAATTCACCGATATGTAAAGGTTTTCTGTGACTGTGAGAACCCTGTTTAAAAGATGCATTAAACTTTCTCATTTGTTGTGCTTTATTTATGTAATGCCCAGTAAATGCAGTGTTACTTTTTTGATATGTCTATATAGTTTTTAATTTTTATTTCATATTTTAGTGCATGGTTAAACTAAGCAAAAATTATAAATCTTGCCTTGGCAACTAGCTGAAATAAAATAAAACGTTATATTTTTGTGTCAAGTAATGGAAATGTTTTTAATGGTTTTAATTAACTATATGATACATATGCTACATTTATTTTAAGACATTGATTTGTGTCACGTCTAAACACAAACACATTATTACTTTAAACAAGACCCATGCACTTTTTGATTAATTATAAGCTTTCAACGAGAGACTCGTTAACATTTTTGTTTTTCCAAAAAAGCAATTTTAGCCAATTAACAAAAACTGTTTATATTTACCAGAAAAATTTCCATAACTTTTTAAGATTTTGTTCATTTCTGTGCCTTTTACAGATTGGAAATCATTGTTTTAAAAATCACAGATATTTGAAGGTTTTCCAAGACTGTGAGAAGCCCATTTAAAAGAAATTCACATTTTTCCCCCCCTCATTTATTGTGTTTTGTTTACGTGATACCTCTGGTTGAATGCAGATGTTGAGTTGTTGTTGTGGTGATGTCGGCAGGTTTTGCAGCCGGTCTGTCACACGCGAGCGCTGCAGCTGTGGACGGCTGTGTATCTGCCGTCGTCCTCGCCGTGCACCGCGGCTGAAGATGCCATGGAGATCTACCTGAGCCCTTCGGCCGGAGGAGAGGAGTTCAGCTCGCGCTCCCTCGACAGGTGACCATTCATTTCATTACAGTGCTAAAAATGCTGCACCATTACATTTGCTCACATATTGCTTCACTAAATCTTTATTTGGCCACATTCCAAACAACTTTCCTGAAAGTAATATCCTGATGTATTTCCTTCTCTACAATCAGATTCCAGCACACTTGCTGCCAGTAAATGACAGATTGCAGGACTTTTTTCCTACTGATCCTGTTATACATATATATATATATATATATATTAGGGCTGGGCGATATACCTAAAAAATGTATCAACGATATAATGATATAATGTTTCATATCGTTCGGTATCGATAATTATTGACATTTTTTAAAACAAAGAGCAATAGAAAAAAGGTTTAAATTTAACTACTGTATTTTCAAATTAACAATTTATTGAGACAAACAACAAATATTCAATATAACAATCAAACACAAAATAAAAATGCCTAATGTTTTATATGCAGATTAAATGGGTCTTAAAGAAACTTTTGTCTTGTCTCCCGAGGCCACAGGAGGGCGCAATGAGCAAAATAATGCAGCGCATTTAAATTATCAACGCAAGCAATTAACTCTATAAAAAAGCGTGCATTATGTCTAAATTAACTCATAAAAATCAAATATAATTTCATAAATTGCATAAACAATTATGAACAGAACAGCATCATGTATTTATGCATTGCTTAATCCAAAGAGCTGAAGCGCCATTCACACAGACTGCATTTAAAATATGAGACGCAGTGAAAAGGAATAAACCTCCACAGTGTGTCTGTGTCGGTGTCTGTGTCTGTGTCTGTGTCTGTGTCTGTGTCTGTGTCTGTGTCTGTGTCTGTGTCTGTGTCTGTGTCTGTGTCTGTGTTATAATTTCATAAATTGCATAAACAATTATGAACAGAACAGCATCATGTATTTATGCATTGCTTAATCCAAAGAGCTGAAGCGCCATTCACACAGACTGCATTTAAAATATGAGACGCAGTGAAAAGGAATAAACCTCCACAGTGTGTCTGTGTCTGTGTCTGTGTCTGTGTCTGTGTCTGTGTCTGTGTCTGTGTCTGTGTCTGTGTCTGTGTCTGTGTCTGTGTGCGCGTGTGCGCGTGTGCGCGCGTGTGTGCGTGTGTGTGCGTGTGTGTGCGTGTGTCTCTGTGTGTGTGTGTGTGTGTGTGTGCGTGTGTCTCTGTGTGTGCGTGTGTCTCTGTGTGTGCGTGTGTCTCTGTGTGTGCGTGTCTCTGTGTGTGTGTGTGCGTGTCTCTGTGTGTGTGTGTGTGCGTGTGTGTCTGTCTGTCGGTGTCTCTGTGTCTGTCTGTCGGTGTCGTGTGTGGGTGTGCGCGCGTGTGTGCGTGTGTGTGCGTGTGTGTGCGTGTGTGTGCGTGTGTGTGCGTGTGTGTGCGTGTGTGCGTGTGTGTGCGTGTGTGCGCGTGTGTGCGTGTGTGCGCGCGTGTGCGCGTGCGTGTGTGCGTGCGCGTGCGCGTGCGCGCGCGTGTATCAATTAAAGCAGCGCATTAATATGGAACGGTGATTAAACTGACTTGGAACTACCTGTGCATTAAACGGTTTTAATGCATACCTGCCAGCCAATCAGAATCCAGTATTCAGACAGACCATGGAATAATAAAACTTATTTAAATGACTTAACATTTTTTATAAACACTTGTATACTTGCATGTATAAAGATCCAGCCATCATCCCTTTAATGAGGATGATGAGGTGCTCTACTGAGATGTTTTGTGTTCAGCTCCTGCCCTCTTGTGGTGAACTGAAGCACACTGTAAACACTGTTTTTCAATTCCCTCAGGCTCCCCAAAACACGCTCGATGGACAACTTGGTGTCTGCTTGTGAGAACGGCGTGACACTCACCCGCACCTCGAGTGACCCCAACCTGAACAAGCACTGCCAGGAGTCCAACCAACCCGCGGCCATCCAGAGCGCCACTTCGTCCGAGGACCCGTCTGAGCCGGGGTGTGAGGAAACCAGCTCTTCAATATCTCGTGAGGACGATTTAGGGGTGGAGCCTTGTTTGACAACCCAGCCCCTTCCATCTTTGCCCCACCCCTTAGCGGTAGACCAAGCCCCGCCCCTTCCGGTCACAAACCAAGCTCCGCCTCAAATCCCAATTAGCTCACCACAGGAAATCAGGACTGCGGAAAACACGAATCCACCTCCTCTTTGTAACGGCTTCGCACACGTAGAAAACGCTAGCGGATCTGCGAACTCTGAAGCCATTGCGCCAATGGAGGCGTCAGTGGAGACGCTAACGGAGCAAAGCGCAATCCCTCCTTCTAGGAAAGCCATTGACGTGCCGTTTGAAACGCCGATACGAAACGGCGAACTGGTTCCCGCCAGAGAACGACCACCACCCGCCGACTACGCCAAAGCAGCCCGCCGTTTGATTTCCCAAAGCCATCTGACGGAGCTATCGCTGCTAGGCTCCCAATGGGACAGCGTCCAAGGCCTGGTCCAGTCGGCCTGCGGCGGCGCCATCCAACATGGCAGCTATCACAGCCGCCGCCTGGCGAACAAGCTCCTCCGTGCCCAAGCCGGAAGCGCTAACGGCGGGCCGTGTTGCCGTCGAGACCCTCTGCACGCTCCTGGAAGCCCCATCCAGTCGGGCTGGTTCTCTGCAGTGAGGAACTCCAGCTACGCTGCGCTTTGTTCCTCGGCAGCGTCTTCGCTAGCAATGGGACCGTCCTTCCGGCAGCTGCTCCCGTCCCATTCCTCGCCGTCCTCCAGCGGCTCTCCGGCTCCGGCGTACCTGGACGACGACGGCCTGCCGGTGGCGGTGGACGCGGTGCAGCAGCGGCTGCGGCAGATCGAGGCCAGCTATAAGCTGGAGGTGGAGGTGTTGAGGCGGCAGGTTCGACAGCTGCAGCTCAAACTGGAGAGCAAGCAGTTCTGCACGCCGCCCTCCGAACCCGACGTCGACTACGAGGACGATATCGTGAGTCTGTGTTCCCAGTACATTTATCATGCTCACTGTGGGTCCTTCAAAAATCCAACATTCAGTTTTATAGAATTTGTGGACTTAAAGCCGTGACAAACTTTATATCGTTGGAAAGGTCTAAGACTCCTAAATAGATATTTTACCATTTTTTTGTAAAAAATGATGTAGGAAAAGTAATAGATTAATTTATGACAAGAGTGCACCTCAAAAATCTACATCACAACAGGAGTTCTGACCTTTGTCACAAAGTCTTCTTCGTTGCCTTTTTCTCTATCACTTTAGAAATCATCAGCAATTATATATCAATTGAAAACTTAAAATCTCAAAATTCATCCTTTGAAAACCATTTTAAAATCAGACATTGGTACATCAAATATATATATATATATATATATATATATATATATATATATATATGAAAATAGCTTCAAAAACATTTTTAAAAGGTAATCCAAAAATAAAAATATTTATTTATTATTTATTTAATTTAGTTTTTTGGAATAATAACATTTTTAAAAGAAGCCTCTTCTGATCATTTCACTTCTCTTCTGCATTTATTTTTTTTTAAAACACACACATATCGTGAAGTATTTTTAAAATGTATTTCTACTTAAATATATTTTAAAATATAATTAATAGCTTTGCCATCACAGGCATAAATTACATTATTCAAATAGAAAACAGTTCTTTTAAATTGCAATAATATTTAACAATATGAATGTTTGTACAATATTTTTGATAGTATATCATAAATGCAGCGTTTGAACGCGAGAGACCTCTTTCAAACACAATAAAAAACGTAATCATTCCAAACTTTTTAACTAAAACATCTTATTATTTTGCATTTTAGTCATAAAGGTCTTAAAATGTCTTAATTTTGATTTTAAAAAATTTCTCATTGACTCTTGCATATAAAATCACCAGTCTCCTGTGATGCTTGTGATTTTATTACAGGTAGAATCTGTGCTTCCGTGACTAGATAACTCATTTACTTTGTGAGTTGCAACACAAGAGGGATGTTTTGGGCAGAATAAAACAAAAACACAACGTTTAAACCCTTGTTTCAGTGCAGTGTTTGATTGACAGCTGTGTCGTTGGTCCTTTTGAGATGCATTTGTGTTTCTATTCTTGTGTCTGTGACTCCACTGACGTCTCTCTCGTTCCTCCAGACGTGTCTGCGGGAGTCAGACGGCAGCGACGAGGAAGACTCTCTGTCCAGTCACAGCGAGGATCGCTTGAGCGAGGGCAGCTGGGACCGTGTGGAGAGGAAGGACACAGAGGTCAGTCTCTCTGATGCTGCGCAGTACAGCTGATGATGCTTAGAGAGTTTAACCAGCTTGTTTCTGGACACAGGTCACCAGATGGGTGCCGGATCACATGGCCTCTCACTGCTTCAGCTGCGACTGTGAGTTCTGGATTGCCAAGAGACGCCATCACTGCAGGTGCGGCCCAGTCTGATTCCTGAGAAACAGGAGCAGATCGGTTAAATATCACTTCATTTTCACACTTTTCAGGGATTCCCAAATCCCCTCTGAGACTTTAAATAACATTAAATGTTAGTTTAGTAAAGATACTGAATTCACATCAGTTGATTTATTACAGATCATTCATAAATTGTTGGTTGTATATTGGATTTTACTATACGTTTCGTCAGTGGCAATTCAGACATGATTTCAACAAACATCAATTAAAAAAAAAAAATGAAATGTGATTGATTTGAATCTTTATTGATAAAATATTTGATTGAATTAGTAGCGTTTGTTTTGTTTGTATATTGGATTTATAGATGAACCCTTTAACCACCTGCACGAAAAAAATTCAAAATCAAATCACTAAGCAACCCCTGAATGGAATAACGCAATATACTTTGATTAACTCCTACGCAGTGCTGAGTTATTTGCGGATAAATAGAAGGGGAAAAAATCATAATTTATGAAAAAAAAATTTGTGCCAGAAACATCATACAGCTCATATAGTCATGTGTCACATGTCATTTGAAAGGTCTCATCGAGTTGAATAAAACAAGTATAATTGTTTGGGGCTTTAGCTAAACTTGAGTGAGGCTTTACTTCAAATTCAAAACAACAATTTCAAAACTGTAAATTCCAAATGCTGTAACTTTTGATTACTTCATGATATCGCCACAAAACTTAATTCACATATAACACACATGTTGGGGAACATCGCCAAAACATAATTTTTCTCCTACCTTATTTATTTCATGAGATATTGAATATCAAATAAGAACGATATGAAAAATTTCCCTTGACCACACTAATTTTTCTTACATTTTATCACCTATTTCTCAACATGAGAATATTCAAATGCAAAGATTTTTTTTCACATAAAAATATAGAAAACTTTCTATCAGACGATACCTACCTTTTGACTCCCCTTGCTACGGTCTTGGAGTTATGAGTCATTATTTTTGTGTATGGCACTCAGAAAAAACATCATCTTCAGTGAGGCAAAACTGCCCTCATGGCTTAAAGGGTTAATATGTGATTTCTAGAATATTTTATTTATAGCCAGTGTTCATTTAGTGTTATTTATACACTATTATAGTATTTTAGTTTAGGTAGTAGTCATTTTTAAAATTTTTGTAATTTTAACAGTTTTTAAATATTTCTATTTTGCTTTATTTTTTTTTCTCTCCGTTAAAAATAACATAATTTTCAGTTTTAATTTAGTTTAAATTTGAGTAACTTTGTGTGCTTTTGTCATTTAAACAAATATTTCTGTTAAGCTTTAGTTAATTTCTATTTCAGTTTTAGGCAATATTTGTATTTTTTCTTATTTCTATTCATTAGTAGTAAATTCATTTTTAACTTAATTATTTAATTATTCATTTATTTTAGTTTTTTAATTGAGCTTTTGTCATTTTTAAAAATATTTCGGTTTAGCTTTAGTTCATTTTTTATTTCAGTTTTAGGCAATTTTTCTTATTTCTATTCATTGGTAGTAAATTAATTTTAACTGAATTAATTAAATTATTTATGACTTTTATCTTTGTATTTTAATTTGAATCTAGCTTTTGTCATTTAAAAAAAATTATCTTAAGCTTTAGTTAATTTTTTTTTATTTCAGTTTTAAGCAATATTTCTATTTTTCTTATTTCTATTCATTAGTAGTAAATTAATTTTTAACTGAATTTAATTAATTATTAAATTATTTATAACTTTTATTTTAATTTTAATTTAGCTTTTGTCATTTTGATTTTATTATTCTATTTAGCTTTATTTTTAATACATTTTTATTGTTTTAATATTTTAATACTTCAACTTAAGCTTGAACTTAAAATTAGATTAGAAAATTAGAAATGCATCCTCGGCTTACGTTTTTCTTTTCTTTTTTTTTTCAATAGTTCTAGTTTTTTTTCAATATTCAGTTTTGCGAGACACTGTTTATAGTGCTGATAGTGATGGACTAGTTTGTTGGTTAATTGTATTCAAATATTGGATGGCTGGTTTATATTTGACTGAATGCATGATTGAGATTCCGTCCTGATTTCCCGTAGGAACTGTGGGAACGTGTTTTGTAAGGACTGCTGTCACCTGAAGCTGCCCATCCCAGACCAGCAGCTGTACGACCCGGTTCTGGTGTGCAACACCTGCCACGACCTGCTGCTGGAGTCCCGCACGCGAGAGCTGCGCTCGCAACAGCTGAAGAAAGCCATCGCCACCGCCTCCAGCTGAGACGGCCAATCACAGCGCGCCACACACACACCGGCGTCCAATCACACGCCCGTCTTTTAGAGCAAGAGCCGCTCTCTCCTCTAGAGTCCGGATCGGCTCTGAGACTGATCCACACGAGGAACGGGACGGATCAACTCCAAACACGAGTGCGGTTTGCGACGGAGGGGCGATTTTATCACTGCAAGTGAACTCCAAGCTTCTCTGGTTGAGGACAGAAACCGGACCCAAAGGATCCTTGGGTTCCAAAGAGAGGCGTTTCTTCGTCTGGAAATCACCACACGGCCCGTATGCATCACACACATCCAGAGGCGCTCTATTTAAAACCAACCAAGCTGCTACAGTATTTAAAAACGAAAAATTCTACTTTTGTATCCTTATTATTTTGTGCACTACGGAGGGGGATTGAGACCAAAACGGGGAGATCTGCAGCAGTTCGTCTGCTGATATGAAGCTTGAATGTACGGCTGTTTGGTTTATTTAGATTTTTCAGAAATGAGGGAGGGACTGAATTTAAGCTGCCAGTTTGCATTGATTTGATGGCAGTTTTGTGCAGTTTTTGTTTTTCAGCCACTCGCGTCAAAACTGCGCTTTCGCTGAAATGTGAAATGGTTTCACTCTCGACTTTAAATGCCAAACTCAAATTCCAACATATCAGTAATATATAAACAGAAGCACTCATAAAACTCATAAAAGCAAGCTGAACATTTACGCTGTATATTGTTGTGTACGTTACGGTAAAACTATAGCCATGTTGCACTGCTCCGTCTACTTTATCCAGAATACTAGTATACTAGTTTCTTTTCTGTGACTTCATCTGAACAAACCAACGACGATAATTGAAATGACAATCTGAAACAGGTGAATCATTGGAAACTGGTGGCGATTTAAAGGACTTTTGTGTTGGAGGGTTTTGACCGCTTCGCTGCTGTCCACTCACGTTCTCAACATGTTCAAAACAAGTGCTATGATTTCTTTTTCACGTCGTCCGCGTCTTCAGGCCCTACGTTGATTGTGTATTGTAATGTTGGTGAACCTCTCAACAGTGCCATGTGTTTGATTTTCTTATGGATCCACTTTAACATGTTGGATGGTACAATAGCTAGAGGCTTAACAATCAGAGGATGATTTGTTGAGAATCGATGAGGTTAAAAACACTGAGAACCGCTTTGATTTTGTCTGATGGGTTTAATTTTTGTTCTCCGTGGTGTTGATGAAGGACACATTTCGAGTTAAATGCATTGAAAAGGAACCCAGAAATGTGATATATTATATAGTTATTTGGTCTGTAATAGTGGCTAAAATGTCACTTAGTGAATAATTGTTGTAAAGAAATGCACTGTACAAGTTCAATCCCATGGGTTAAATAAAAAGATACGTCTTTATCAGCCATCTGTGTCCTGTGTTGAGATTATGCATCTTTGCTTTTATCATTTTGTTCAAAATCATACCAAGCATGGAGCTTGAACACTAAAATTAACATAGGCATTTTTGTTTTGCTGCAGTTATTTTTTTCCTGTTATATTTAAAGGGGTCATCGGATGCCCATTTTCCACAAGTTGATATGATTCTTTGGGGTCTTAATGAAAAGTCTGTAACATAGTTTGGTAAAAATTTCTCAATGGTAGTGTAAAAAACTAATTTTTCCCTGTCAAAAATAGCTCTTTTTAGATCAAGCCGTTTTTGTAGCATTTTCCTTTAAATGTTAATGAGCTCTGCTGACTCCGCCCCTCTCTTCCGAGCTGCTCTCAGAGAGACTGTTTACTTTAGCCGCACTCATCATGAAACTTGCTAATTAGCACATTATTAGGAAAGGCTATTTGCAAAGATTCATTACAAAATATTATACTCACTTCTTCTGTATGAGGCTGGATCATGAATGATTCGCGCGAACATAGACGCATTTATGTAGATCAGGGACGCATTCCCTTCAGAAACAAACGTAGTCCACTGCGTCTTCAGCGGCTCAGATGTCGGGAGTAAATGACGACTGCTGTGTTCATTATTACATCCAGCAACAGAACACCTCAATCGCTTAGGAGTCATTCTTGTCTACATCTGCTCCGGTGGTGAAACAATGGCGGACTGATGACAGCTCACTCAGGGCGGAGCTAAGGTAAAACTCTACTGTCAATCAACAGTCGTGGGAGGGGCCTGTTTTTGTGACGTCACACAGACAGGCATCTGAGAATGGCTTGATTTGAGAAAGGGGAAAACATTTAACCAGATTTTTAAAAAAAACTGGGTGGATTTTTATCATTATAGGGTGGTCGTGAACACATACTGCCAACACACATTTCAGTTCAAACTACTTTTAAAAGTGCATGTCGCATCCGATGACCCCTTTAAGAGTTTTCATAAAGTCAACATTTAATATATTTAATACTGCAGTTATATGCTATAATAAAATCATCCTACAGAAGCAGGTTTTAAAACAAAAACAGCAGTCTGAGCTTTAGCAGTTTTATTTATAGAGCACCTTTCCCACACTTTACAACAGATTTACATAAAGAACATAACATCACGTACAACACAAAAATATACATTCACAAATAAATAATGCATCTCTTTACCTGTGAATTTAAAGGAATAGTTCTTAAGTTCTAATGACAATGTTAATTACCACTGATTTTTTAAAAATATTTCTCCATCTATAAAAAGGAAAAACGGTGTCAGGCCCAATGAATCAAAAGAATAATCACAACATTGCAACATTACAAAAATTAACATGAGACTAGTGAGACTGTACAAGGTTCAGCGTTTCGCAGTCAGAAATGAACAAGGGAAGAAAGCCAACAGCCAATGCCAGTAATACTACTTATGAAAAAATAATAGAAAATGCATCCAGTTCAACATCACAAATCTCAGCCTGCAGTGATAATCACTTTTTACTGACGATCACTGAGAAGAAAATTGACAGCCTTATAAAAATATTCAATTCACGTTTATTTGAATAGCACTTTTCACGAGACAAATCGTTGCAAAGCAGCTTCACAGAAAATGTGGTAGTTCTGTAAATTGTTTCAGGGTTGGCATCATCTCTTCTCAGGTGTTCTGGATCCAGACTGAAGCTCGTGTAAATCCTAGTTACCACGGGATGTTAATCCCAGCAGAAACAGAGAAACAAATACAAACATAATTAGCGTAGCTGCTGTTCCAACCAAGCAAAAAAAAATGTGTTCAAATAAAGGAATGATAATGTGAATTTAATCAGATATAATTGAAGTAAAAGATTATGAGATGCATTATTTGAATGCTTGGCCGAAGAGATGTGTCTTTAATCTAGATTTAAACAGAGCGAGTGTGTCTGAACCCCGAACGCTATCAGGAAGGCTATTCCAGAGTTTGGGAGCCAAATGCGACAAAGCTCTACCTCCTTTAGTGGACTTTGCTATCCTAGGTACTACCAAAAGTCCAGAGTTTTGCGACCTTAGGGAGCGTGATGGATTGTAGCGTGGTAGAAGACTAGTTAGGTACGCAGGAGCTAACCCATTAAGGGCCTTATAGGCAAGTAATAATATTTTGTAACTGATACGGAACTTAACAGGTAGCCAGTGCAGAGACTGTAAAATTGGGGTAATATGATCATATTTTCTTGACCTGGTAAGGACTCTAGCCGCTGCATTTTGGACTACCTGTAGCTTGTTTATTGAAGATGCAGGACAACCAGCTAGCAGTGCATTACAATAGTCCAGTCTAGAGGTCATGAATGCATGAACTAGCTTTTCTGCATCAGAAACAGGTAACGTTTCATAACTTGGCAATGTTTCTAAGATGGAAGAATGCTGTTTTTGTAACATGGGAAATATGATTTTCAAAAGACAATTTGCTGTCTAATATATCAATTAAAAAATACTCCAACGTTGTGCTGAAAAGTAGTAAATAAACAAATAAATGCATTAATACCTGTATTAGTAGTAGTATGCCTACTGAACAGTTTTAAACCGGCCATTAGATGTCCCCAAACTCACATTAATGATTGTTTTGCGCTCAGCTGCTCAATATTCATAACTGCATATTTCTGTTGTGGATAAAGCAGGTGTTTACTCCGGTAACTTTATACAAGATATAGCCTAATAATCTCCCATATACACACTATAAAGTGTATGAGTAACAGAAATATGTTTACAATTTACAGCACAGTAAGATTACGGAATATTAAATATGCTGGGAAGCCATAAAAATAAAACAATAACAATAGCCTAATTCAACACTTCCTACTTCCTGACAGAATTTTCCTCATTTAGGCTACTAACCATAAATTTCCCTGAAATAGGCCTACATGCTGGAACAAATACTGAAGGGATCATTATTAAGGATTTCGCCTGGAATCATCCAATCATGCTTTGATTCATGGAATTACAACTTGGGAAAATAATCAATAATAAACATACAAAGTTTGAATAAGATGACCTGTGATTGGGCAAGGCTTATTTTGGTCATATGCTGCCATGCACAGTTGGATTGTCTATAAATGTAGCCTAGGTTGATCTAAACTGTAAGTTGATTTGGGGGAAAAAGCATCTTTCTACTAATAATAGTATGTATTATAGTTAAGTGAGGAGTTTTTGTCATTGTACAGGCATTTAGCAGATCTGACCATTAAAATGACTTTTAGATATTTAGATAGATAGATGTGAGTAAGAATAATGAGCATATTTCATACATGACATGTGATAAAGATAAGACGGGTGTGATGATGCTCTGGTTATTGAGGAATGTGTTGGGAGGGGCCAGCAGACTCTATCCTGTCCATTGATAGATGTATTACTATATAAGAGACGATCACACTCTCAAAGGGTCACATTTGGTCGAGTCTGATTGCTGGAGTCACAGGACTTTCACAATGCGGTGTCTGCTTTCAGCTTATCTTCTGCCACTGATTCTGCATTCGTGCACCGGTGCAGGTGAGTCCAGCACATTCATGATCTAGCTATGCTCAGTGATGCTGCTGCTGCAGTGCTGCTTCATATATGTGCTGCTTCAGACTCTACAGTGCTTTGCAGGTAACATCAATCTGATCATATATCAATAAGGACATTTTGCACTGATCAGATTAAACTTACTGAATGAACTCAGATCTATATCAAATGTATTAGTATTCATTAATAGCTAATGTGCATGATTTAAAGGTGAACAGAGCATACTAGAAATGCACATATATTCTCAAACAGTTATATTTATCAAACTTTTCTAGACCAAAAAGCTGCTGAGTCTTTTTTTTTTTATGCACAATACACTGATATAACATTTGAACGTTTCAGCAAGTTTTAAGCTTTTCAAAAGTAGCCTACACAATGGAAAAACGCATGTTTTTTTAAAAACATATTTATTACAGTTTTGACTATGACCGATAAACACAATTTTATTCAGAACACAAAATAAAGATGATCAATTCATTAAACTCAAAACACGTTTTTGCAGGCTATTTATGTATATTTTGTAAGTCGCAAAAATAATGTTAGCTTACCTAGGCAGACTGTCAGAGAGTTATTCATCTAATTAATGTCATCTAACCTCGAACCCTAAAAAAGTCCGTCAGGGAAAAAACTCAATCTTGCGCGCTGCCTCATTTTCTGGAGGAAGGAGGAAAGAGCATCTTTCTTTCTTTCTGCTCAAGGACACTCGATCCGTTGCTGTTCCTTATACAGGACGAGCTCCTAAACTCCAGAGTGTTTCTCCAGAGCTCCTAAACTCCATCATAGAGCTGCACCTGCACTCAGTCTGCCAACCGCACCAAGACTTGCCAGACAAATGTTCCGTGCCTGATCCATTCAAGCTCGTCGAATTTGTCCTTTGGCACCCTTTGTACCGTAAACCATATTTTTGTGATATGTGGTAAATTAATGAACACTGTGTAACAGTGATAAAGAATTATTTGGTTTTCAGAAGCAAAGTTCTCGAGCAGCGCTCTGTTGCTATGGTTACCTCCAAAAAAGAGGAACATTATTTCTGGGGCCAGTTGCATAAACATAGCCAACTAGTTGTTAGCTAAGAGTTATCAGACTTACCTTTTGGATTCAAATGAGACCATTCTCCCTTTTTAATGACTTTAAGAAAGTATGACCAGTCTTAAAGAGAAAAAATTAGATGACTAACTTTTTAAGTCTAGTTTAAGCGGTTTATGCAACCGGCCCCTGTTTGTGAGGGTCTATTTAGGCTGCCGCAAGATGAAAATAGGCGGGTTGAATTTGTCAGGTTTTGTTGTTATTTATAAGTATGAAAAACAATAAAGGGATAAATAATTAGACTACAGTAGCCCTATTTGAATAGATTTTCAGAAGCAAAGTTCTCGAGCAGCCTACTGTTGCTATGGTTACCCCGAAAGCGATTTCTGACTAGTTACCGCACGCCGAGTGTAAATACGGGTTCTCTTGTTTAATGTTTGAAAAGCTAGTTGAAACGTACAAAAGTAGTAACAATTTAGCTAAATGAACAATAAAGTGATAAATAATTACAGTAGCCTATTTATGCTTCTTTTTTTTATTTATTTATGCAATGCGAAGTGGCGAGCAGCGCACTGTTACTATGGTTACCTTGACAGGCGAAGGCGATTTCTGTTCACGAGCGTTTATTTTTTGGTTATTGAAACGTTTGACTAGCCTGTTGAAGCCTACAAAAATAGCGACATACATTTTGATAATTGACAGATTAATTCCAGCGGTGCCAAAACTTATTTAGACAGTTAAGTCACACTTAAAAACGTCTCGGTTATAGATTACGAAATAGCAGTTACTGTAAATAATCGACATACATGATTCTAGCTTAAAGACGTTAAAACACAATCTGCTGCTTTGATGTTAGATTTCCTGCTCTCTGGGATCTAAAGATATTTCAACATTGACACACATTTTTTGTATCTGCTTTGAAATGACGTGTATTGTAGAAAGCACTATATAAATAAAAATGACTCGACAAAAGGAAGTTTGTTCACTTTAAAGTGCTGAAACAATAGCTGGAGTGTTGAAAATGAGGACAGTCGGTATTCAGTCACTTTGTTTGTTGATAGTAAGTTAATGTGATTAAAACTTTGAAAAGGACAACGCTAGCGAACAGAAAAGATTTGATGGATATCTTTTCTAATGCAATGACATTCCGACATTTTTAAGTGTGATTAAAGCATCCAAATATACTTTCTAGGTCAGCTGTATGCCAACAAAATGTCCACAAAAGGCTGTATGTCTCTATTTAAGAGCCACTTTAGATGCGTTTTCAAGTGCTTCTGTATAGAACAAACAAACAATGACTGTAATCTTCATATCAGCATTAATAACTGATTATTTATTAGTCAAGCAGCACCCATTCACTGCAGAGCATCCATTGCTGAGACACCGATGCAATGCTATATTTCTCCAAACCTGATGAAGAAACAAACTGTTCTGTGTGACGCTGGACTGTAATGTTGTGTTTTCCACATCAGTTCAGGTCAGTATACCCATCACAGCCACAGTGTCTGGAGGAAACCTGGGAGAAACGTACAAGGCCGTGCAGTTTCACCTCCACTGGGGCACTAACGGAGGTCCTGGATCTGAACACACCGTCGATGGAGAGCAGTATCCTATTGTATTTTCGATCAAATAAATTCAGCCTTGTTCATCAGAAGAGACATTGTTCAACAAAGCTGTCTGAATGACTCTTTTCGTTTGTGCAGATGGAAACACGACGCTCCGTAAGATCTCTCTGAATCAGCTCATTCCTCCTGAAGTCAACATGACTAGCTATTACCGGTATGACGGCTCTCTAACCACACCGGGCTGCACGGAGGCTGTGGTGTGGACGGTGTTTGAAAACCCCATTCCCCTCGACAGAGAACAGGTGCGACTGAAGCTGCCTTCACGCCATTATCCTGAACACCAAAAACTGGACATGAACTCGTATTTAAACTCATTTACTTTGCTATCTCTTGCCATTATAGTCAGCTATATTAAATACATTGCATGTATTTGAGCATTTATTTGAATGGAACTTCAGAATAGCGCAGTGAATTATACAATAGTGCTGGTGACGTCTATTTGGTTGTCAATGAATGGGATGCTACATTTTATTCAGCATCCATTGGATATTGACTAAATATCTTCAATATATTCTCACTTTGATAAGATTTCCCCAATAAATGGGCAAGAATGAACATAGCTACGAGAACGATCACAACAAACTTTGATTTGAAGCAAAACAGTATTTGAAAATCATACAAAAAGAGATCAAAAAGATAAAAGACTGTGAACTTAATATCTTTAATGGAAGCATTACAAACCCATGAAGCATGTGAATAATACAATTATTAACAAAGTTGTTGATATACATCATTTTTGATTTGATTGTCATGTTAAATTGTGTTATTTTAGTATCATTGAAATACTATTATAGTTTTTATTCGTTACATTTTTTTTTTTTTTTTTAATATTGTCAGATTTTTCTGCTATCTTTTTTGTTTTCATGTTTTAGTAATTTTGTTGTGTGTTTGTTATTTGTATTCGTTTTTTAATATGTCTATATATATTTGTATTAATTTTTGTTTCAGTTTGAGTTATTTTAGTACATCAAGTTAAATTAAATGAAAAAGTTGCTTTGGCAACTAGCTGAAATAAAATAGTTTATGTTTTCATATTCGATATCAGTTTATGTTTATTTTATTTGTAGAATTTTTTTTTATGGTTTTAGTTTTAGTTTATAGTAACTCAGATATGTAAACAACATATTTGAAGTTAATAGCAATATACATATATATATATATATATATATATATAGCTATATTATACTGTATACTGCACATACATATATATATACTGTATTGAGTGCCCAACGAGACACTAAAGTGTTGTTTTAGCACAATTAGCTTGTTTCAATTTGTATTATTTTGCAGAATTATGGGTAATGCAGTTTTTCACCAGAAATTCCGCTTTTAAACAATTCTTTAAAAGATAAGTTGAAATAATGCGAACTGATGGCTTCAACAAAAGCATCTACCGTCGAATATCAACCTTGTAGCTCACAGTAGAGCTGTTTTTAAAGGCTAAAAAAATCAGTTCATCTATGGAGAAACTGAATGGGATTTTTACTTTCTATTAGGATTTCAGAAGTGAGCACTTAAAGGGCCAGCTCACCCCAAAAATCATCATTTTGACCCTGCACGATAAAGCTCTGATCATTATGTGTCTTCAAACAGCTCCGGGCTTTTTCCACCCTGAAGTTCAACGATGGGAACCCGATGGTGGGAACGTTCAGACCCGTTCAGCCTCGTAACAGACGCGTGGTTTACCGGTCCAGCGGCGCAGCGGTCGCCGCCAGCGCCGTCCTGATTCTGGCCTCCATCAGCGCAGCGCTCGGCCTGTCCCGTCCGCACTAGAGCGAGACCGACCCGCTACCGGCACACAACCAACACAATGAGTTCTCAGCCAATCAACAGACCAACAGAAGAAAACCACAAACAAGCCGTTTCTACAGGACACTAGAGTAGTTAGTGTAGAATCTGACCAGTAGACGTGTGTTCATAGCTATCAAGAGGAGCTGGACTAAAGCCGTTCTGACTTTCTGTGAAGGTCTGACGGGGAATAAATGCATGACCGTTATCTGTTATAGACATCTGCCAAACACACACACACACACACACACACAGGCTATATTTACAAAGGCTTTGATGTGCTGGAGATGTGCATTACTAACACACACAGCGATGATCAGCACTTTACAGGTGAAAGGTCACAGAGTTCAAGGGTGAAAGGTCACAGAGCCGTGAGAATAGATCGGAGAGTAACCCAGATATAGCACACACAAATACATCTACATTAATTCTGTTGAAAGTTTCATAGGGTGTTTCACACTTGTTCAAAAGAATCAAATTCGCTTTAAATGAATCAAGTTAATTGATCGAGAACTGAGAATTAAAATGTATGTGTGTGTGTGTGTGTATATACAGTATATGCATATATAAACTGTATGATATTATTTATAATTATATATAATGTGATAGACATGCACTCTATATACTGTATACGTAAAATTAAATTTTTATATATGCATACATATAAATTATTTCATACAGTATGTATATATATATATATATTTAGTATGTATATATTATATTCCTGTCCAGTTTTGCAAACAACTTTCAGACCCCTAAAAATATGCCAAGTGTGGAAATAAAGGGAACCAAGTACTTTTGCATTTCTAAGTTTAACCCAGACATGCATTGCTTCATAAAGACACATAAATCCCTTTGCTAGTAAATAGAGACGGTCGAAGTGAAAGCGGTGTGTTCTCTGTGACAAGATTTTGTTTAAAATGTACTACAATTTCAGTCTGTGGCATGATATTTACACACATCTGGACTTGCTGTAGACGTCTTGAAGTCATGCATCTTGCGCACAAACTTATACTGTATATCCAAAAGATTCTGTTCGAGTCTGTTGTGAGGACACATGATTTGTGTTTTATAAACTTTGAGGGTCTCAGACGCACTAAACGTGATGCATTGACGCTCTTTCTGGAGAAAATGAATATGATGATTAGTATTTGCTGTAAAGGCCGAGCAGACTCTACAAACAGGGAAACGTGCAACGTGTGTACTCATAACACACATTAACACTATCTATATGTATGTTTTTCTATATGTGTGTATGTTCATGTAAGCGCTGCTGTTTGTCATGTGTATTATTGCTGAAAGCATTGATGAATTTGACCTCTGGACACTCAAATCAACAGCTAAGCATCACTGAATCGCCGTCTCCATTGAATCTTCATTTACGTTGAAAATGTCAGTTCTGTCAACCTGTCAGAATGCACTGATGATATTATGATGATGTAACTGCTAATGATATAGTGAATGCATTCCAGTAGAATAATAAATGGCTGCATTTCATTTTTTAAATCACACGCATTCTGTCATTCTTTAGTATTTCAGACAAAGGTGAAGTCTGTAATTTCTGCACCAGTGAAATTGTTTTTAGTAATTGAGATAATGATCAAATAAAATTAAATAAAAAATAAAATTAAAATTCAGATGGAAGAATTGAAAACCAAATGTTGAAGCACTAAAGTATGGAAGATAAAAAACAATTCATTTAAAAAGCTCTGAGAAAAATGTCAGAATTTTGAGATTAAAATATCTCAATTACCAATTTGTATTTATTTTATTCTATTTATTTTTTCTATTTTAAAATATTCTATTTTATTTAAATTTTTTTATTCCATGGTGGAAACAAGCTTCCATACTAAAATGAATAAAACTGAAATGAAAATAAATGTAAGCTTTATATATATATAAATAAATGACAAATGCACACGACAAACTCAAACTAAAAGTACTACCTAACTAAAGTAAAACTGAAAATATAAAACTAAAAGCTACTTTAAAATATTAATAAATACTATAATAATATTAAAATAATACTAAAAAAACACTGTTCTGTAGCACTTTCCAAATTTGATTGCAAAAAACAATTATTTTAAATGTAATATAAAAAAAAAGTTTAAAAAGAACATATTACACCTGGAACATTTCTTAGAAAGCAATAGCATTTATCTCTTTAGCCCTTTGTTAAAGCAGTGGAATGGCATTATAACCCAGTCAGATGTGCATCTCATAATCAAGTATGATACTAAGCAGTCAGTCAGTATAAATATATGCATTATATTAATGTAAAGTAATTGCACATGAGATCACCACACAAACCTCCGCACACAGTGAGATAATATTTTCATAAGGCAGATGTCGGTGATCTCTGTCTGTTCTCAGCGTCTCTGAGGTGAGATTTAATTGCTCGTGTCTCACATTCCCACATAAACGAGCTTCACTCCTTCAGTGTGCGACACGTATCAACATCTAATCCGATTCTAATTGACTCACACTGAACGCTGCAGTCTGAACCTGACAGTTCACTGCTTCTCCAAGGACTCGGAGAAAAACACAGAAACCACATTAGAAACAGCTTTTTCCATAAAGAGCAAAAGAGATTAAGAAACAACTGATAAAGTTGTTAAAAATAAAATTCTTATTTCTAATTATCGAAGAGTGTTTTAACATTGCGGACACTAAATAATAAATAAAATATGTATACTATTTATTTGAATAAATGTATTCCTGGAAAAACTATATATACTAAATATTTAACTCAATAAATATATATTTCTATACATACAAACATACTTTACGCACAATTTTCTTAAATATAATTCTATATATTTTATTGAATTTTTTAAAAAGACCACCAACAGCGTTACTAGAAAGAGAGTTAAAAAAACAAACAAACAAAAAAAGATTATATAAGATTATAAAGATTATATAGTTCAGATGCAAAAGCCTAAGTGCCGCCTGGAATTTTTTTAAATCTAAAATAAGCATTTTTATAAGACTCCTATGTTTAGGTTATGTAAATGTATTCTAATGGCAATGTATAAGTCCTTTTCTATGCAATTAAAGTGAAATAATTAAACAAATATAGCAGTCTGATAAAAATGCTAATTTTAAAAGAATTTCAGATGGCGTGTAGAGGCTTTTGCATCTGAACTCTTCATATACTGTATATATATATATATATATATATATATGCAGATTATGCATAAATGTCAATTTCGAAAAATTGACCCTTATGACTGGTTTTGTGCTCCAGGGTCAGACACAAACATATATATAGCAGTAACACTGTTGATGGTCTTTCGGGTTGTGAATTTGTCAAAGATTTACTATTCACGTTAAGGAATCATCTGTGTTCAATGTAAGTGCAGCTCCAACAGCTTTCACAGCATAATGTCCTTAACCACTGACTATAAACATTATAAATGCAATAAATGTCAGAATATACAGTTTGTAAAGTCCAGCTGCAAGATTTAAACATTACACACATTAACATGCGACTAGTCATAAAACATCTTACCAATATTGCATCTGCAAAGTCTGTTGGCAAAGTTGTAATCCGATATTTCACTTATATTGCCATGATGATGTAAATCTGCTAAACCAGTGCGTTCAACCCGAGAGATTGATCTGTTCACATTCCCTTCCATCTCAATGCCTACAGCTCTTCTGACTCATTCAGCCATGAGTGTAGACCTGTACATCTTAGCTCTGTAAACTTATTCTCTTCCACCTGAACCGTAAATGTCATGTGAATATTTATCATATATTATAAGGGGCCAATGTTTGGCCCTGCTGGAAGTTAAAGTGTCTACATCATTTCAGGAGGCAAAAAGCATCTTTCTCCTTTGACGGCCATTCAAAAAGCTGGACATTCATGCAAAATCATTCATGCAAAATTGACCATGCATTCATTTTTATGCATGAAATGAAAATGTTTCATTATATTAGATGTTTGACCAATGCACAGTTTTAGGGCTCTTAAAATTGGGACACTAGTCTGTAGTTAAGGGTTTGAGACTCCAGTGTATTTCAGTCTTTCTAATTCAGTTTTTTCACTTGAACTCAAAGTTACCAGCAAATTAACGAGCAATTTCTGAGTGAAAATCGTTTCTATAATTCCTATACCATATATCCCAGTGTAGGTCATTCTTAAAAATGTCACATTAAATTCAATGTTTCTTTGTTACAATGTTTATTTGTAACGGAATTCAATGTTATGCTTCTTTGTAATAATTTGTGAAATTTACAAGCAATTTCTGAGTGAAATTTCAGTAAATCCTATATAATTTTTTTCAGTATTTCTATACTTTAAAATTTCACATTAAATTCAATGCTACTTTGTTACAATGTTTCTGTGTTATTCAATTCAATGTTATGTTTCTTTGTGACATTTTCAATCAATTTCACGAGTGAAAATTGTTTCAGTAAATCCTGTATCATATTTTTCAGACTTAAAAAAGTTACTTGCCGTTTCTTAGTAACTGATATTATTTCACAAATAATTACAAAGAAACAGCAAATAATTTTTTTTAAGAAAAACTGAAATACTGAAATATAAAGTACTTATTGCAAAACAAATATTTACAACTTTATTTACAACATCACAGAAATCAACCGAAATTTACAAATGTCTTTCTTACGGTTTCCTGCATATTAAGCTCAAATGTGAGATTATTTTAATGTAAGAAAATCTACACATTTCAAGTATAAGACTCAACTAAAAATGAAAGAATTTTGCAAAATCAAACCACCTTCCAATTAGATTTTTCACTTGTTTCAGAGTTCACCTCTCATGTGCTCGCTGCAGATCACAGACTCTTTCTGAACCTGAAGACTGCTTCTTTTCACATTATTGCACAACACAAACAGAAGACTCCGGCCTTTAAGGAGCCCTATCACATTAGAGGTCTGACGTATTTCAGACCTTCCTGGGGTCTAGAAGTCTCCTAAGAAAGCGCCCGTCTCTCCTGGGATCTTCTTCCTTTCTCTTTTCTCAATCAAAGGCCTTTTTGTCATGTATAGGACAGAACTTTAGTGCACAAAGGCTTGTGGTGAAACAGAGATGGCCTTTTCCGCGCTCTCGGCCCGCTGTGGTCTCAGTGGAGCAGATGAAGCATACATGATGGACGACTAATACATGTAAAGGTGCCTTTCTTTGACCTTTGACAAGCTCACATGATCAAACAAATTCCAGGTTCTCATAAGTGACATAATGACCAGCCCACCCTCAAACAAAGATGTCCATTTTCTTCCAGATAAGAAAACCAAAATACCAACAATCTTCCCATCAGATAATAGTGAAACACACCGACTAAACCAGGAGGAATTCACAGGACAGATCCAATCTGCTGGACTGATGTTGGAGAAAACTCATTTATAATGCCCTGAATTTGGAAATGTGGCATGCAAAGTGCATTTTGCATCATTTTTTGGCTTCTTAATGAGTTTGTAATTAGACTTTTTGGGCTTGAAATAAGATAAATGTACCTAAACAATGCTGTCAAAATGCTGAACAAAAGTTCAAGTAAATAATCAGTTAGCACATAAGGTCATCGCTTCACTTTC